CCCAGGCTCTGGAGCTGCACATTTCCAGGCTCAGAGCTGCACATTCCCAGGCTCTGGAGCTGCACATTCCCAGGCTCTGGAGCTGCACATTTCCATGCTCTGGAGCTGCACATTTCCAGGCTCTGGAGCTGCACATTTCCAGGCTCAGAGCTGCACATTCCAGGCTTTCCCTGCCCACCCCAGTCTTGGGGATCTCCCCCAGAGCAGCTCTGGAGCTCTCTGCTCATGCCCAAACTCAGGCTCATGCACTCAGGCTGCTTTTCCAGGTGCTTTTCCCTCTGAAAGTGGAGCGGGAAAACGAATCCCAAAGTGTTGGACACCCCCAATAATCCAGGTTATTTTTATCCCTGCTGGAATTCCCTTCACTCTCACTTTTGGTGATGATTCCCAGCACCCAGTTTGTCATGAGAGGCCCTGGCCTCCTGCTGGAGGTTTGGAAGGGCAGACGTTTGATTTTTAGGGAAGAACATCCCGTTGGAATTTCCCTCGGAGCTGTATCCTGGCTGGTGCTGCCACCCTGAGTGCCGGGCAGGGCACGACATCCCCGGGATGCAGGGATGCAAGGATGCAGGGATTCAGGCATTCACGGGGGCAGGGATGCAGGAATTAAGGGATTCAGGGATCCAGGAATGCAGGCATTCAGGGATGGTGGGATTCAGGCATTCAGGGATCCAGGAATGCAGGCATGCAGGGATTCAAGGGGACAGGGATGCAGGGCTTCAGGGGGGCAGGGATGCAGGAATGCAGGCATGCAGGGATTCAAGGGGACAGGGATGCAGGGCTTCAGGGGGGCAGGGATGCAGGAATGCAGGCATGCAGGGATTCAGGGATGCAGGGATGCAGGGATTTGGGCATTCAGGAATGCAGGGATGCAAGGATTCAGCCATACAGGCATCCAGCCATTCAGGGATGCAGGAATGCAGGGATTCAGGAATGCAGAGATTCAGGCATACAGGGATGAAGGAACACAAGGATTCAGGGATGCAGGGATTCAGGGATTCAGAGACACAAGGATTCGGGGATGCAGCCATGGAGAGACTGAGGCATTCAGGGATGCAGGAATTCAGGGACGCAGGGATGCAGGCATGCAGGGACACAGGAATTCAGGGACACAGGGATGCAGGCATGCAGGGATACAGGAATTCAGGGATGCAGGCATGTAGGAATTCAGGGATGCAGTCATGCAGGGATTCGGGGACACAGGGATGCAGGCATGCAGGGATACAGGAATTCAGGGATGCAGGCATGCAGGGACACAGGGATGCAGGCATGCAGGAACACAGGGATACAGGAATTCAGGGATGCAGGCATGCAGGGACACAGGGATACAGGAATTCAGGGATGCAGGCATGCAGGGACACAGGGATACAGG